TCGCAGATTTCTGGCGCCCGCTTCAGGGTGAAGAGGTTTCCCCCTCCCCTCAGAAGAAGTCAGTCTACCCAATCCTTTGGAGAACAAACCTGCACAGTCAATCCTCTGGGATCAGAGCAATCAATGCTGGCAGGCTTCTCCTTTGTTCTGCTTATATTCATCATTACTGTATATGGGACGCTGGACCCGCTTTCCAGCAGGTGCTGCTCCCCACCAATAGATGGAGCCTCTCCCCGGATGCTAGCGGTGTCTGCTAGCGGTGTCTGCTCGTATCAGCACCACTAACATTCCTGGGGGAGTTTTCTCACAAAAAAAAAAAAAAAAAAAAAAAAAAAAAAACTAACTGTGTAGATTGCACAGCTATAACCAAAGCCGGCTAATGGCCCCGGTAACTCAAAGGTTTTTCATAAATTTTCTCAATGGGTTTTTGGATGGGACGCTGGGCCCGGTTCCCAGCACGTGTTGCTCCCCACAAATAGATTGGAGCATATCTTTCAAAAAAAAAAAAACAAAAAAAAAACGAAGGAGTACTCTCCCAATCACCACTTCTGCGGCAACCTGCACCCAAAGAAGCACAGAGAGTCAACAACTATTGCCATATATGCATAGGTCTCGAGACCTTAACTGCCAACATTCCTGAGAAGTGCAATTTTATCAGCCTCGCCACCATTACCGCCTTGCAACACAGAACTCCATTCACCCCTCCGGATGAATACAAGAGGCCCCATCGAATCCCTTACATGGCTACAGGAGCATTACAGTAACTGCCAGAAGCAAGCAAGTAGGGTGGCCAGGGTGCTTCTGGCAGAAATGCATCCAGAGCCATGTGTTACGCTGTCATCAGTAGCACCATCAGATATTCAGGAGGGATGCTGGGCCCAGTTCCGAGCACGTGCTCATCTACCAACTTAAACCACCAGTACTTGGCCCATACATTGGCCGCGGGCGTTTCCTGTTAACGCTCCGCGACTGATGGGCTGCGGCCTAGCGGACCACAATGGCTGGAGGCGCCAGCCAAAAGAAAAGTGAAACGACGCGGCGGCGGCTCGGCAAAACTTGGTGCGCAGGGTGTTTCCCGGCTCGGCATCAATAGCTGGGCCAAGTACTGGTGGTTCAACATCGTATCCCAGGGGATGCTGGACCCGCTTTCCAGCAGGTGTATCTCCCCACCAATAGACTGGAGCCCCCTGTGTGACGGGTAGGAGTGCATGCTCCTATCACCATTCCTATCTGTTGTCGCGGGTGGTAATTTGTTATTAAAAAAAAAAAAGAAAAAAAAAAGAAAGAACAAGAAAAAAAAAAGAAAAAAAAAGAGGGAATCAGTGGGGCCTTTTGTATTCATGAACATCCTGTTGAGTGAATGTAGAGTTCGGTGCTACATGGAGGTCATGCCAGCAAGGTTCATCCAAAACTTCGACTTCTTTTCTTAGGAATGTTGGCAGCTAAGGTCTAGAGGCCTATACATATATGCAAACAGTTGTTCACTTTTTCTGCAAGTTTGGGCGCAGGTCGCTGCTGAATTGGTGATTGGGAGAGTGCTCCTTTAAATATTGGGTGCAAGTACTCATTAAGGGGATGGGTGCCCGGGCACTACCCACTCAATCCCATCCAGGTGGGGTACCTTGCACCCTGAGTATTACTCTCTTTATGTGTTGGGATTGACTGAGGATTTATATGTGGGGATTCCCGGACAACACAGACACTCTTTTTGAGTTATAACTGCAGTATGGGCCAAGATACAGTTTGCAATTGCAGTCTACAGTCCGATTATAACTCGTTTGTGTGACTCCCACATAGTTTCCCCCTTTTTTTTTTCTTGTATACAACCCAGCTTTCTGGCCAGGTAGTAGGGTGCCCAAAGTGCAATTGCAAACTGTGTCTTGGCCCATACTGCAGTTATAACTCGCTTTTGTGACTCCCGTGTAGTTTCCCCTTTTTTTTCTTTCTTGTGACTCTACCTGAAGGACTGAGCCTACTAGTGACGGTGATGCTAGCAGCCATCCCTAGTAAGCCTATGTCTAACTGCTCCATATATTGGTGGGGAGCTGCACCTGCTGGAAATCGGGTCCAGCGTCCCATAAACATCATTGAGAATGATACATGAGAAAAACAGGGGGAACAGGATCGCCTCTTCAGCCCCCCTGGGGACAGCCAGATGTAACATCCAACAGTAGCTACCTCATGCCCACAAACAATTTGGCTGGGTATTATTCAGTCCCCACCCAGACCAAACCATTGCAATTCTACCAACGCTAGGTCAGAAAGGGGAAATGGGTCCAAAAAGAAGACGGAGAACAGCCCCAGGCGGAAGCATAAACCAGTTCCTAAGACGAGTTGGACGTTCTTCTTGAGAGGACCCTCTGTCTCTTCCACCCCTGGTCATTGCACCTCCCCCAGGGACCGCAACATTGATCCCCCCCAGCCAGTCCGTAACGAAGTTTGAATTGTTTGTTTTATGTGCTTTCTCTGTGTGAGTCTGTTAAGTTTTTCTTTAGTAATAGCCCAATGGGCTCTGATTTCTGTTTGGACAAATTGTACAATATAATCTGCCAACTCGGAGCCTTCCAAGCACACCACTTCTCTCTCACGGACACAATAACGCTTACTCATACGGAAACAATATTTCTATTATCACTTTGTTGTGTCCAGCTGAAGAGGGGGGTTCTAACACTGGCTTGGGTGATTGTTTGAAACACACATTCAGCACGTGTGTGTGTGTGTGTGTGTGTGTGTATGTGTGTCGAGCCAACCAAAAAAACCCACAAACGCGGCGAGCGGCGTAGTAGGGCATGCATACACAAATGCCTAAACACGGGTTGCATCACCTCCGCACAAAACAATCCATACATAGTGTGATAATACAGACACCTACTACTGGAATGAGACGGATGCAAGGAAGGATTTCTGAGCAAATACACATTCCGCACAGCCATCGCACACCGAGGAGGACAATAGGCACACAATCCCGTTGTATCCGAGGTACCAATTCGAAAACAAGAGGAAAAGCAAACTGGCATCAACTGCACATGGCACAACCCATCATCACTCCTCTCGGTACGAATTATATCAAGAGTTCCACCGAGCACATGTTTGTTCACCAAATCAAAACACCTCCTCCCTATTCTACACCCCACTATCTGTCATTAACAAAGAACACTGCACAACATTCCCTGAGCCTACCCCCAACTATCATTCCTACGGCAAAAGAGGCAAACATCATTACAAGCACCACTATTAGCCATGGCAACCCGGGGTCCATCACCGCCTTCGGAATTACGGTCTCCAGCTCCGCGGCATGGCAGACGGAACCCAACTCCGGGGTATGAACTGGTGTCCATACGGAAGGCCCGAGCAAACTGGCTGTGCCGAAAAACGCGCAGGCGAGAAGAACAACAAAAAACTGCCAGCCTACGATTATGATTGCCATTATGATTGCCGGGTAGTAAAGAAAACACATGTTGCTACCAACTCGCAGTATATCCGCAGATCCCGACGATTCCTCAATCATTCCGCCAGCAGACGCGCCTCCCCGTATAACTACTACATTCACCCACAGCATCAAGTCGCAAATCCTAGCTTCGACAATGCCATGTCAGCAGGAAGAATCCAATCGATACACAGTTCCACATTGATCATGCGAGTACGCTTCGGCCCATCTCTAGCCCACCATGGGTAGCAACGACCCCGATCCCTTACATGTCATCACAAGGCATTGAAACCAAGCGCCATGCTACGATCACCCGAGAGCTCCCAATCAGGTTGCAGAAAAGAAGGGGGGAGGAGAGAGGAGAGGATGGGGGGCAGAATACCAGTACATACAACCCAACCCCATGATATATCAAATTGTCGTTGCAGTGGGCAAAACACTTGTATCCAGGAGCAACAAGTATGCGATCAGACAGATGTGCTCAACTACGATGCGGCGGTTCCCTCTTAAAAAAAGGCAACATTCTCCATAGTCATCAGTATCCTCACAAACACGCAGGGATCGCTTTCACACTTTGCAGAATCTTGGCGCAGGGTTCTGGCCAGAGCAATTTAGTAACTCTGTCCGAAGGGGGTGACAGCAGCAACAGCGATGTTCAAGCAGCGCCAGCATCGGTAAAAATGACAGGTAGGCAATAATGCAATCAGACTTGACTTATTCACACTTTTCATGCACGTGAACAGCAGGACAACAAACTGGCGCCATGCGCCCACACAGAACTCCGAGATATGGCTTCCAAGTAACAGTTCGCTTCCACTGGCTATGGCGACTGTGCGCCTCAAACAAACTCACTGTTCACACTCTGGATCACCCCGGATGTCCCACACGCGATACTCGGTACATACACACACACAGTACACACACTCTTACCCTACGCTACAGCTATGGCGGCTATGGCCGCCGCTACCCTACTGCTATGGCTACAGTATGTCACTCTCGCCCACTTCGTCTTTGGGCCTTCTGCAGACCTCCTCGCACAAGCTGCTGAGGCAGCGCTTCCGCAGGAATGAATAATGGCTGGACGCAGCCTCTTGATTTATACTTCTGCGCTGCGATGGTCTGCCCTGTGTCCCTTGGCCCCTGGTGCACACAGTCCCAGACGGTACTTGCTGGACAGGACCGGACTACTAACTGGGACTGTTGACTCAGCGAGGTGGCCTACCACCACTTGACCACTTGCCTCTGTTCAATGCAGGCTCACTCCGAAAGGCCACTTCTAGAACCCTCTTACTTGGCCTTTCGGTACTGTAGCAGCTACGACTTTGCCCCTTCAGGTAAGTAGCAGTTACGACCTTGACCCTTCAGACATCCTACAACTACGACTTCGGAACTGTCTAGACTCCTACCCTACAGGTCTACAGTTCGATTCCCTTCTACCCTGTGACCTACGAAAACCTACCTACCACTGGCGGTCCTTCAGGTCACAGGTTCAAATCTACGGGTTGACACTGGTACTGTACACAGGTAAGACGGGGAACTAGGGATCGAGTCCTGGGATCTGCATTCGCTACTGCGAACTGGTGAATACCGTTTCACTCCCGCCGGCCTAAATTCGAGGTCCTCCGAGAAAATTTCAGTCCAAGGCAGGACCTTTACCTCGCTGTTGTCTCTCGTAGGCCCGGACTATATCGGGAGCTGTCTCTAGAAGTTCAGATCTTGTAAACCAGTGGTCGTCTTCCGGTTCTTGGTAACTGAAATGAACCTTGTACTGTTTCTTCGGACGACCCCTACCTCCAGTTCTGAAGACATCTTCAGCCACTATACCATCGATGTCATATCTCCCATCCATATCCGGTGGGATCATTGATCTACGGGATGGAAATTGATCACTTGTCTGACAAGGATATAACTTTGATGCATGAAAAACTGGGTAAGTGTGGAGATGTGCTGGGAGTTCTATGGTATAGGACGGTCCATCTTCGCCGCCCTTGACTTCTAGAACGGGCCACGGTCCTCTATATGTGGGCAGTAACTTCTCCGAGATGTTCTCCTCAGGTGTAAACTCCTTAGAACTGACCCAGACTAAGTCGCCTACTTGAAACTGTGAGGGGCGACGATGTTTGTTCGCTTGCTCTATCATCTTATGCTGGGCCTTCCTGAGGTTCTCTACAACAGTAGCTAGTTCTTTCTCGTGCTGTACAGCAAACTCCCTGGTCTCGGGCGGTAATATGTGAATCTGATCCCGGTTGAGTCCCTCAAATAGTCTGCGCGGTCTAAAGGACTTGTGCAGTTCGTTGGGAGTGCGGCAGGTGGATAAATGCACGCTGTTATCATACGCACTAGCTACTTTAGGCAACATCTCGTCCCAGTTAATCTGATCTGGCCTAATGTACATGCGCAGAACTTGCTGTAGGATCTTGTTCATCTGCTTTGTCTGTCCGTTAGTCTCTGGATGATGGTCGGGCGACATCAACAACTTAGATCCATATACTCCCATGAGTTTTTGCCAGTTCTGGCTAGTAAAGCGACTATCTCTATCGCTAACTATAGACAGTGGGATTCCATTCTCGCTCACCCAACAGTCAAAAAATCTCTGTATGACTAAATCAGTACGTGCCTCTGAAGGCAAAGGAACAAAAACTGCGTACTTACTAAAACGGTCAACTATGACCATGACTTGGCTCTTACCATGCCTACTCTTGACTTGAGTGTCCATGAAGTCGATGGACACCGAGTCCCCCGGCTGGTCCGGAATAGGCAAGGGTCTGAGAAGACCTAGCGGGGCGCGCCTAGAACTCTTGTTGCGCTGGCAAACCTTACAACTGCGAACATACTCTACGCAGTCATTCTTCATCCCCGACCAGGTATACGCGCGCATCAGATTGGCTAAGGTCTTTTGCCAACCAAAATGACCCTCTGTATCGTGGCATTCTCCCAAAATCAAACTACGGACCTCTTCACTACTGGGAATGCACAGGCGGTCAAAAACATTAGTCTTCTCAAAAAGCAACCCTTCGGTAGTGCGGTAGTTCGGTTCAGTCTTTGGGGCCTCTTTGACTTTCGTAAGGAGGTCACTATAGATAGGGTCCTGCGCGTAGGCTTCTCTAACCTTCTGCTGCAGATCCTTCCCTATATCGAGGTAATGTACTATTGCCCCAAAGTAATCAGCTCTTCTACTCAGAGCATCCACGACTACGTTGTACTTCCCTTTGACAGGCTTGAGCTCGARGTCGTACTGATCTATCTCGGCGGCCCACCTAGTAAGCTTAGGTGTCATCTTGGCCTGCGTCTTTAACCATCGTAACGTTTCATGGTTGGAATAGACTTTGAAGTGCCTCCCAAGCAAGTAGTGCTTCCAGTGGTCTAAGGCTTGCCTGAGAGCGTAGAGTTCCCTCTCATAGGTCGATGTCGCGACCTTCTCTGAAGGCATTCTGGCGGACATGAACTCTACGGGTCTATACCCATTGCCATCGTCTTGCTGTAACACTGCGCCTATGCCGTATTGACTCGCATTGGTCGTGACGACAAAGGGCAAGGACGGATCGGCGACTTTAAGGACTGGATACTCTATCAATGTCTGATTTAACTTCTTCATGGCAGACGTGCAGTCCTTATCCCACTTCCAGATGGTCTCCTTTCTTAACAATCTGCGAAGGGGCGCAGCGATGGTAGAGAAGTTCCTCACGAACTTTCGGTAGTAATTAGCTAAGCCCAGGAACGAGTGCAACTCTGTCAGCGTACGTGGCGTGGGCCAATCTCTAATCGCTACGATCTTGCTATCCTCTGGCTTAACGCCGTCTCCGTCTAAGACGTGGCCTAAGTACAAAACTTGGGTTTTCGCCCAATCGCACTTCTTTGCATTGATCTTGAAGTTAGTTTCCCTCAGCTTCTCCAAGACCTGCCTGAGATGACTCTGATGCTCTTCAAGGGTCTTACTAAACACTAGGATATCGTCTAGGTACGCAACAACAAATCTATCTAAACATGACCTAAACAAATCGTTCATACAGCGCTGGAATGTAGCTGGCGTATTGGTTAGTCCAAAGGGCATCACTATGAACTCGTAATGCCCATATCTAGTCCGGAAGGCTGTCTTATACTGATCATCAGGATGCACTTCTATCTGATGATATCTGGACTTCAAATCTATCTTGGAAAAATACTTCGCCCCCTGCATTCGATCTAAGAGATCGTCTATCCTAGGCAGTGGCTCAGCATTCTTTACTGTAATAGCATTCAGACCCCTATAGTCTATGCACATCCTCTGCTCTCCCTCTTTCTTAAGAACAAAGAGAACAGGCACTCCAAAAGGAGACGAACTGGGCCTAATCCAACCCTTCTCGAGGAGCTCGTCTAATTGCTTGCGAAGCTCCTCTAACTCCCGTGGGGACATCCTATACACAGCACCCTTAGGAGTTCTACTGCCAGGCTCTATCTCAATGCGGTGCTGGATGGGCCGCGGTACTACTCCTATCGGCGGTTCAATTAGATCCTTGAACTCTTCCAGCAGCCTGGCAATCACAGGGTCCATCGGCTCACCAATCTGGCGAACGCAGGAGCACTAAGACAGCAATGTGCCAAGGGATTCTCTAATCCTGGTACGTGAAACAGGCGGGCAGTCTTAGCCTCGCCTGAAGAACTAGGGAGCCTACACTCGTGCTCCTTCAAATGGAGCGTGACCCCGACTGCCTCTCCCCAATCCATTCCCAGAACAATATCAAATGGGAGGCTGTCTTCTACGAGAAGAGTCAGGGAGTGGAGGACCTTTTCCACTTTCCCATCTTTCTCTAGGCGGAAATACGCCTGGACTCCCTCTAGGTAATCCTCTACAACCATGGTACGATTGTCTGCGAGGATACTAACTATGGGGTCTGTCAATTTATGGACTTTAAGTCCCAGCCTCAACTTTTGCAGCGCTTTCTTACGAATATAGCTGCGGGTGGCCCCTGAGTCTACTAGGGCCCCTACTCTACCTCTAAAAATCTATGTATCTAGTAAGATCATCTGCCCTTTATTCTCGTTCTTCATCTTGGCCCAGGCGGGCCTCCTCTCCTTCAACTCTTCGGCTTCGCCTGTGAGGGAGGTGTCTAGAGAGATCCTAACACAAGCGGTCTCTGGGCAGCTATCTAGACACCGGCCTGCAACCTCTGCCATAGGCACATGTGGTGTGGGAGTCTCCTGTCGGCTAGCGCTATGTTCCCCACAAGGCCTAAAGGTAGGGGCAGTTGCTACCCCTACCGGTGACTGCCTTTTGGCCCTTGGGCAGCCGTTCGGGTCTCGCGATACTTAGGACAGTATTTAATGATATGCCCTGGGTCACCGCAAAAAATGCATTGGCCCCGGTCCAATCGTTGTTGCCATAAAGTCTGGTCCAGACCCAAAGTTCCCCAAGGCCTACCCTGTGGTAGCCCCGGGTGCCATCCTCCTACCCTATAGGGATACCTATTCCTAGGACGGTTTTGTGGGGGACCTTGACCCCTGCCGCCCGCTTGGTGGTTTCCTCCTCTACTGGCAACCCCCTGATCGCCCTGAAACCGACTCCCTGAGGCCCGGCCCCCTTGACCCTGGCCTCGTCCTCCTTGCAGCCTCCCTCCAGCCGCGATAGCAGCGTAAGTCCTCCCCTGGCCCACACCGCTGTCCTCTTCCTCTAACCCCCACTCGATCTGTTCGTAGGGGATCTCATCCACACTACCCTCTTCTAAGGTCAGGACAAGGCTGTCCTTGGTCTTTACCTGCCCTGAGATAGTGCGATCTTTCCATTGCTTTCCTTTGTCTAAGTCCTTGTGCCAGAAGGTAGACACTGACATAGACTTGGCCTCAAAGGCCACCACATCACGACTAAGAGAATCGTACGTAGTGGCAGGGTCTTCGCTCTTTGCGAAGAAATGCCCTCGAAGGGCTTTGGGTAAAGCCCGATAGAAGAGGCCGACCAACTGGGTGTCCGTAACCCCGTGGTCAGGGACAGCCACTAACTCATCCATTGTACTCTTAAGGGCCCTGACACTCTTCCACTTACGAGAGTGGATCTTCTGCAGCCTATCTGAGGCTTTAACGCTGCGGGCGACATCAGCGAATCTCTCGCGCAACAACTTCAAGAATTCGGTGAGGGACGTGAACAAGGAGTACGCAACGTGATCGCCACTACAGTTGGCAGCGCGAACTAGGTACCTTGCAAAACAGGCGGCCTCATCTCTCAGCGCGTGGATCGCAATTAGAACCTGCTGATCCGGGGAGACCTGTTGCAAGTGCACATAGGTCTTAATGTTGGCTTCCCAGTTATCAATTTCTCTTCTCTTTTCCCATTGTAGGAATCAGGGAATTCGACCTTGACCGGTTCCCGGCGAGGAGGACGTGCTTCCTCCTCCTTGGGGGCTGCCGCCTTGACGCCCTCAATGGCGCCAGCGCAAAACCGCTCAGTCTTGTCGACGCGGTGGCCCACCTCAGTGCCTATAGCGCCTACCAACTCTCGAGCAAAGTCCCGGAATCCCAACTTTATTGAACGCACAGCTATATGCTGACTCCTACTAAAGTCATATTGCTCTGCCTGAATTCATGCTAGACGTGCAACATTGCAGGCTATGACTCGCATTTGGGCTGGGAGTTCAGTCTGGGCGGTTAATTGCTCTTCTATCTTTTGTACCTCCTCTAACTCTTCTGCCGCCTCCGCTGCCGCGTTCACTCTCCTCTTCTTCTCCCTCATCACTGCCAACGTCCATTCCATTCTCTTCTCATCTTCCATTGCCTGCCGCTTTACAACATATTTTTCTGCTTCCCAAACTCTCATAGCGGCTTCCTGATCGTCCTTAGAGATATACATCGCCACTTCTTCTTCTTCGCCCAAGGATAAGTTGGTGACCCACTCTGAGATCCGCTTCTCCATCTCCTCATCCCTACTGCCACTGTACTGCCCCTTCTTCCTCTGCAGTGGCGTTTCATCTTCTTCCTCCTCTTCCACCTCTTTCAACTTTTCTTCCTCTTCTTTCTGTATCCTCTCCTTCTCTCTGACCATCTCTTCTTCTATCTTCTTCAATTTGGCCGCCTGCTCCTCCTTCAAGGCCTTCTTCTTGGCCTCCTTCTCCTTCCTCTCCTGCAAGATGGCGGTCATCTTCTCCTCCTCCTCCTTCGTGTATGGTTTGGTGGAGACACCACCCCGGGTATCTACTCTACATGTAAAGGTGTGCCAGAACCCCAGAGGAAAGAGGAGACGCCAGAGGGTCCCCCAGAGGGAGAACCCAACGAGCAACCCATACATCGGATAGTCGTCCATCGTGGTGTTAGGTGCACGACAATGTCCCACTCTTCACCACTTAGACCTACCTGGACACACTAACCTACTGTCTGACTCTCTAAGATCCACTACTCACAACTACTCTAAGGCTGTCACTACTGAACTAACAGCTGATCAGGAGGCATTTAAGGAGATCCCCCAAACTCCGCAAGAATTCTTTAACGTCGCAGTCAGGACGACGTGATTAGCGTAGTTCTTCCTAATGATGTCAGCCCACAACTCAGCCGTTCCGGCCTACTGTGCCACACCGAGCAGCCCGCCGGTCTGTACCGGTCCTTGGAGGGGTTTGTGTCCCTCGGGTCAGTCAAGTCGTCAGACACAGATCATCAGCCTTACTGGGTCCGGTAGGGGAGTGGTTCAACCAGGCCTCAACACTTAAAGACGGCCTTCGTTTCAGCCCACAGCTCGGAGTTCGGACCCTCTACACTGAACCTGAGTAGACCTGCCGGACAGTACCGGTCATTGGGCTAGACGAGTTGTTTAACGAGCGCTCGCCGCTCATGCCCAGGTCTTCAGATGCCAGATGTAGCGGACCTCGGGTTGGCCTGTGAGACCAGCCCCTTGGCCTGTTCTCACAGGCCTGTGTTATATTCGGGGTAGGCCAGTCCAGGCCGGTACCTTTGTCGGTACCAGCCAGTCCAGTCCAGTCCCGTCAGTCCG